GTCGTGCCTGCGGCCACGGATGAGACAGAAGGTCCAGTGGGGAGCCGGTCGGGTGCAGAGGAACATGGGAATGGTGAGCGGGCTGTTGCGCTTGGTCAGGAAGGAGCTCAGTGCTGATGAGTAGATCGGGGTCACGAGGTTCAAATCCAAGCAGCTGGCAGCCTGGGCCACCTGCAAGAGCGCACTGGTTGATGCCAGGGAGAGGGAGCCCTGGTTGGAAGCAGAGTCCGGGCTGCCTCCAGGAGGCAGCCTCGTGACCCCGAGCTACTCATCAGCACAGAGTCCTGTGGACCTCTAGCTGTGTTAGGAGCCACAGACATTTCACCAAGGGCTCAGGCAGGGGGCAGGGCTGGCCTGCCCTTTAAGGAATGGGTGGCAGCATGGGCGGCACTAGCGCAGGGAGCCCAGCCAGAGGGACGAGAGGGGGCAGGTGCCGGCCTGCCTTCCAGAGCGCAGGCGTGCTGGGAGACGAAGGCCCAGGGACGCGAGATGCTGGGTACGCAGACTAGCGCAGGTGGGGAGAGTGCGACGGACGGTGCACCCCAACTCTTCCGTGCCAGCTTCAGGCCACACCTTCTTCGCTCCTCCTGCCGCCTGCTTGGGCACCCTTGGGCTTGCTTAGTGTCCTAACCTTTCGTCCCTACTGTGTTCCCAGCCCTGCGGGGCCGTGCAGGTTCTGAGTACATAGACCATGGTCTTGCTTTATGAAGGACCTGAAAGCCCACGAGAGAGAGGTGTAGACAGGAGATGTGGACCCGGTCGGGGGTGTTGAGCCCAAGGCCCAGGGAGCCCGTTCCGGAGCAGATCTGCAGCTGGCCCTGGACCTCCCACTGAGCCTTAGATCCCTTTCCTCTCTAGGTGTCGATTCCCCCCCTGGGAAATGGGCTTGGGGTCCCTATTGGGGGGTGGCTTTGCTTGGAAGCAGGGGTGGGAAGAGAATGTTGTAACCAGTTCTGCCCCTTACTTCCCCGCAGACACCACCTGTGCCGCTCCCGGCGTTACTGCCGTGACGTGGGCAACTGCGTGGAGACTCTGTCCACCCAGGTGGAGCGGCTGGTGCAGCAGGCTGCTCACCAGGCCGACTCCTCCGTCGCCCTCTACTACTTCAACGCCTCCCTCTACCTGCTCCGGGTGTTGAAGGGCAACACCGCTGACAGGTCCATCCACAAGCCCCAGAAGGAGAAAGCTGGCACCAGCACCAAGCCCAAGGGCCCCGAGGTGAGCAGGCCCTGGCCCAGAGGGCTCAGCCTACTAGTAGGAAGTGCAGTGCCGGTAGATAGGAGCAGATTCCAGGCAGCAGGCCAGGACCATCTCCCTGTTTCACAGATGGGGAGTTGAGGCGGTGACTTCCCAAGGGCCCAGTTTTCAGCCTCCTGGAGGCGGCCCGGGCTCTGCTCCCAACCAGGGCTCCCTCTCCCTGGCATCAACCAGTGCGCTCTCGCAGGTGGCCCAGGCTGCCAGCTGCTTGGATTTGAACCTCGTGACCCCGATCTACTCATCAGCACTGAGCTCCTTCCTGACCAAGCGCAACAGCCCGCTCACCATTCCCATGTTCCTCAGTCTCTTTTCCCGGCACCCGGTGAGTATAGGGGCCGGCCCACCCCTCGGGCCCTGCTCATCCCATTCCCCATCTCATAGCCCTGCCATTCCCTCCCTAGATGCTCTGTAAGAGCCTGCTCCCTGTGGTGGTCCAGCATGTGACGGGCCAAACGCGGCCTCGACATCAGGTAGGGGCCTGTCTGAACTACCCACTCGACTCACTTCTGGGTGTTTGTGAGGCCCAGGAGTGCCCTGGTGAGTAAGGGCAGGCAGGCCCACCCCACCCCTGTCCCTGTGACCTGGCCGGCTCCTGCCTCTGCCACTTCCCATGTGGCCTGAGCCCTCCGACTCCATAGTGCTCACACTCTGGCTACCCGCTCAGGTCCTAGCAGACAGGGCAGGGCGAGGACGGAGACGAGGCTGGGGAGGCTGGAGGAAGACAGCAGTGAGTAGCGAGAGGGCAAAACTTCTCAATCCAGGTTGCTACCTCTACCCAGCTGAGAGCCTTGCTCCCGCACCCCAGGCCTCTGTTCCCCCATCCCCCTGAGAAGAGGGGACAGGAGCAGATGACTACTGAGCCCAGAGCTCTGTGGTGACAACCCAGGCAGGTTGGAGCCAGAGCAGCAGGTGCCCCTCCCCCAACCTAGTGTTGCCTTGGCCTCAGCAGGTGCCCAGCAGGCTGCCAGAGCTCTTGGGGTCCCCTGTGGTTCCCTAAGCCTTGGCCAGCATGCCCAGGCTCCTGGTGACCACTTTCCACCACCCCAGGCCCAGGCCTGCCTGCTGCTCCAGAAGACCCTGCCCATGCGGGAGCTGAGATTGTGCTTTGAGGACCCCGAGTGGGAGCAGCTGATCGGCCAGATCCTGGCAAAGGTCACGGAGGTAACAGCCACAGGGCTCCCCTTCCGCCCCCTCAGGAGTTGTTCTCTCAGAGGAAGGGGATTACCGGGTCACTGAGCCTGGGGCGGGTGGGGGCTGCCCCAGGAGACACTTGGTCATATGGGAAGCGCTCGGGTGGCTCAGCCTGGCCGCCTTCTCCTTAGAATCTGCGGGCCCTGGGGGAGGCGCAGACCAAGTCGGAGCAGCTGAAGAACCGGTCCTCCTTGGAGCTGCTCAACACCCTCCTCTGGATTATTAATCGTGAGGTGAGCTGGGGGGAGGTCACAGGGGAAGCTTCTGGATGCCACGTGGGGGAGGTTCAGGCTGCCAGGAGAGGAATCGGGCTCTTTCTGTGTTTAGAGAGCCGTGGACACGGGTGCTTGACTTGGGAGGGAGAGTGCCCACCTGTGCCTGGCCAGGGTCAGGGTAGGAGGCTGTGCTGGTGTTTGTGCTCCAGTCAGAAAGCTGAGGAGGTGAGGGTTCCTGGTGGGCAGCGGCTGGAAGGAGCCGGTTCCCAGGCCTGCAGAGACGGACTAGGGGCCATCAGAATGGGGCAGGGGCAGCTGTGGCTTAGTGTCTGGGTCCCTCAATCTGGCCCAGAGGGAGAGGTCTGGGACTTCTAGCATAGACACTGGCCAAGGCCCACATGCAGGGCAAGCTTGCTGAGGGTGCTGGAGGGAGCAGGTGGGGCCAGGGCAGGGCCTTGCCGAACAGCGGGGGACCTGAAAAGCAGCTCAGAGTGGCAGCAAAATGCCAGGAGGAAAGGATGTTCTGGAAGCCAGTGGGTTTCACATAACCCATCCCATCTGTGGCAGGGAGGGTGAGATGGGTAGAAGGGATGTGGCCACCCTGGCGTCATTGCATGGTGCCGCCAGAGGGGCGGGCTGAGAGGGAGGGAGGTGCGGAAGCAGAGATCGGAGCTCTGGCTGTAGGGAGAGGGAATGAATGTGGCACCTGGGCTCCTTTTCTTCCTAAGGCAAGTGAAACTGGTGACTCACAGGCAGGAGTGGCTGAGGGTACAGAAGGGGGTGTGGGGGTCCCTGGAGAGGCAGTAATTGGGCAAGGGTGGGAAGACAGGGCCAAGAGCTGGCAAGAAGCCCCGCTTCCCATCTCCACGCTGACCACAGCTTTCCCACCTCCCGCAGAAGCTGACCGTGGACCTGACCGTTGTGCTGGGCGTGCTGCAGAGCCAACAGCAGTACCTGCAGCACAGGGTGCGGCAGAAGGAGCAAGTGGCCGGGTCCAGCCGCCTCTACGACATCTTCTGGCAGGCCATGAGGTTCCTCGGAGTCCAGTAGGTTCTGGGAGGAGGGCCCACACACCTTGGGAGGGCTGGAGCGACCCCCACGCTGCACACATTCTGACTTGGCGTGCCCAGGGTGGGCAGTTGGGTCCCGTGGACCACAGAGATGGAGGACACTATCTCTGCCCTCACCAGATGCTTCCTTCCTTTGCTCACTTCCTCCCAGGCGCCCCAAGTCGGAGAAGAAGGAAGCCAAGGAAGTCAGTGCCACGCAGAGCCCTGTTAGCATGAAACGGAAGAAAAAGGGATTCTTGCCAGAGACGAAGAAGCGCAAGAAACGCAAGTCAGAGGGCACCCCACCAGAGGAGGAGGCCAAGCCTGCAGCCACCGGCGGGGACCAGCCCCAGCCCCCCAGCACAGGCAAGAAGAGGAAAAGGAAGAAGGCTAAGGTTGCAGCCCAGGCCCAGGTGGAAGGGACGCCTGCTGCCAAGAGTCCTGCCACCGAGAGTCTGTCCCCAGAGCCCCCGGCGAAGACCCCGAAGCTGCGGAAGAGAAAACGGAAGCTGTCCCAGGTGAACGGAGCCACACCTGTGTCCCCCACGGAGCCTGTTGTGGAAAAGCAGTATCAGAAGGAGCTGCCCCAAAAGGGGGTCTCAGGCAAATCGCCACAGTTGGCGCTGCAGCCCCCGGCCAAGACCCCAAAGCTACAGAAGAGAAATCGGAAGCTGTCTCAGATGAACGGAGACACGCCTGTGTCCCCCACGGAGCCTGCTATTGAAAAGCAGTATCAGAAGGAGCTGCCCCAAAAGGGGGTCTCGGGCAAATCGCCACAGTCGGCACTGCCGCGGAAAAAGTCAAGATTAAGGTTGTCTTTGGCCAACAGGAGCCCCAGCCTTCTCCAGAGTGGGGCCAAGAAAAAGAAAGCACAGCTGCGGAAGGCGGCAAAGCCCTGAGTGCCGGCCCTGCCCCTCAGCCCTCCCCGTCAGCCCTAGAGACTCCTATTTTTTCACCAGGATTTCAATAAACCAGCCACTCTGAGGTACTGCCTTCTGGTACTGGGGGGAGAGGGTCTTCGGGGAGGTCCTGCTGCAGCAGGGGCAACCCGAGTCCTTTCCTGCATGGCCTGGGCTGCTGTCCTGTTTCTCAGCCCAGAGCTCATGTGCATTGTATGGGGCTGGGACCCTGGCTCCTGGCAGTGTGGGCCCGGTCAGGGCTCATGTTCAGGTGGGTCAGCTCGTAGACCCCCACCAGTGCAGGCCTGGCCACAGGCTGGCTGAGCACAGGTGTGACCACTCCTTGTGCCCTCCCCCCACGCTGCTTTCCTGCAAGAGCCACCAGGGCATGATTTAAATAGGTTTATTTCTTCATTTACAAGAGGAATATATTTGGCTTCTCTTAAGACTCTGAGATTCACAATCAGCAGCTCTAAAAAATAAAGGAGCAGTTTGGCTTCCGGAAGGAAGAGGAGGCAACACTTGGACCTGGTTCTTGTACAACAAGAAAACATTGCTGGGGCCCCAGTTGAGGCTGGGGTGGGGGTGGAGGCCAGGCTGGTCTTTGGGGATCCCACCCCCCTTGCTAGGCCCCCAGGGTGCCCCAGAGCATGGCAGGGAGTGGGGTTTCCAGTAGCTTCCACACCACTGAAGCCACACCGGCCAGTAACTACAGGGCAGCGAGCATTGTCTAGGCTGGCTCAGAGGGGCTCCTGGCCACTAGGCCCCAGCACATGTGCAGGGAGGGAGTGGAGCAGAGCAGACGTGAGAAGCTGCACGCTGGGGACCAGGGCTCGGGTGACATTTGGCAGCTGCACCCTGCATGTGGCTATGAGGGTGGGGTGGTATATGCAGACAGGACCACAGGGGTGGCCCGTGGCTGGGGGCAGTAGTGGGCTGTGGAAATGCATGTGAGCAGCAGCAGCTGATGTTGATGGAGATGGTTCTGGGATGTCAGCCTCCACCAGGCTACTCCCTGGGTCAGGAAGCTGAGTGGAAGGCTGCTTCCTCTGGCTGTCAGAGCCCTGGCCACTGCCCCAGGGGTTCTGGGAATGGTCCCCCAGGGCCCTGCCCCTGGAAAGAGTCCAGAGTGGGACAGGAGTGGTCTGGCTCCTGTGGGGGGTTCAGGAGATGAACAGGTTTTCCAGGGGCTTCAAGGAGCCCTGTGTGGTGGGCAACCCCAATGATCTCAGGCCTGGGGCACAGGTGGCTTGTAGCAACCACCAGGGCCTTCACCCCTGGTGATGCCAGCTCCTTGTTGGGGTGGTCCCCACCTGAGGGACCCAGGCTAAGCCCGGACAAAGCCACAGAGACAAGTGCCCTCTAGGAAGTTCTCAGCGACAGCTACCCAGCTCTGCCAGGTTGAGTCCAGAGGCCCAGCTGAAAGGCTACGGTCCCCACACACCAGGGAGCCTCAGAGCCTGAAGGGCCACCCTGAGGCCTGCACGACCTCTCTGCGCTGTCCGGGAGCTGCTGGGTCTTCAAAGCTGCCGGTGGTGCCTTGCCCGGCCAGCTGCACTGCAAAGTCTGACTCCCTGGCCCCGCGGTCTGCGGAGGTCAGGGACTGGCCCAGGATCATATAAGCTGGTGACAGGCCAGGCTCTCTCCACACACTCACTGGGGGCTGTCTTCTCCCTGGGTCCCAGCGGCCCTGCAGTCCAAGCCCAGGGCTGGGGGTCTGTCTGACCACGTGGCCCCAGCACACACAGCCTTCCAGGTTAGTTGAGGACACGGCCTCTTGGAGCCATGGCCACTCGGCTGTCCCAGACCAGAGCTGGGCGCCCAGCCGTGGGTCCCGTGGAAAGCTGGACAGCCCAGCAGGACTGGGATGCTGAAGGACACTTCCCAGACTAGGTGGGAGCGAGCATTCTTCATAGTTCCAGAGGCACCTAGAGGGAAGGGGGGTCAGAGGTCAGAGGTGGGGCTTTGGGAGGCATTTGTAAAGCTTCCTTTCCCTTGCTGTTTGGAGAAGTGACTTCCTCTGGGCTCTGGGGGGCATGAAAGGGGTGTGGGTCTACGGGGGCCAGGGTATGGGGTGGTGACCTTGGGTCTTGCCCTACTAGGAAGTGCTGCCCCCAGGGGCCAGGTCCAGAGGAAGGTCAAAGTAGTCAGGCCCTGGCACTTCTAGGAAATTAGGATGACAGAGCAGGGAGTCGTGGCCCTGACCTATGCCCTCAGCCCTTCTGAGGAAGGAAGGGGGCTGATTTACTGGAAGAGGGAGCCTGCACCCCTCCCACGATCCTCCAGTCCCTGGGCAGTGCTTCAGGAGGAAGTGCCCTGAGTGCCCCCTCCCTAGTCCCGCCTCCCCTCCCGGGAGCCCCCTCAGCCTCCCTGGCCTGCACTCACCGCCTCAGACCTTCATGGATGTGGGTGGCATCACCAGCTCGTTCGCCCTGGGGGAGAGACGGGCAGGGGTCAAGGTGGCACATCAGCGGGGGCCGGGCCCGGGCACTGCTCTGGCGCATCGAGTCACGGGGGCCGGTTGACCGGACGTGCTGGGCAGGGACCTCGTCAGCCCCAGGGGGAGGTGGGAGAGCCCAGGGGTGGGGAGAGGAAAGAAAGAGAAGAGTAAAGAGGAGAAAGTCAGAAAATGAGAGAAAAAGGAAGGAGAGGGGTCCCAGCTCTGAAAACCGTTAACTCCAGGAAAAACCCAAGCCTCGAACCGCAGGCACAGCCGGTTCACCACGGGCTCCACAGCTCCATCAAGAGGTCGGGGAGGCGGGACCCCAGGGGCCAGGTGACCCCCCACCCCGCCCCAGGCAGGGTTGTGGCAGCGGAGGCAGCCAGCCCACCCACACCCACTCACTGCTGCTCGGCCTTGGCACGGTCACTGAGGAAGAAGAGGGCAGTGGCTAGGAAGAACATGCCGCCCAGGACCACGACGAAGGGGCAGAGCATGAGGGCGTAGCCCAGGCTCAGGAACTCCCAGAGCGGGGAGTCCTTGGTGCTCTGGCGGATCAGGTCGGAGATCTGCGAGGATGGTGGGTGCGTGTCAGGGCAGGCCACCTCCTGCAGCCCGTCGCCCACCACGGCCGCCCCCACCCCAGGCACTCACAAAGCCAATGAGGTAGGGGCTGCCAGCGTCCCCCAGCAGGTGAGAGGTGAAGCTCTGCAGGGCCACAGCGGTAGCCCGTCTGGTGGGGATGACCACGTACTGTGGAAGAGGTGGCAGTCAGAGGCCAGGGGAGCCAGGCCACCCCCTGGCCTCATCCCTGGGGTCAGGACACTTCTGAAGATCCCTTCTGCCCTGGTGTCTTAGCACCTCACCCCCTCAGCCCTTCTCCTTCCCCCCTCTCCCTCCCACCTCCGCCCCAGGGCCCTCTGCTCATCCCCAGCTCACAGACCGGCCGCCTTGGATTCTGCACTGGGCTCTTGGAGAGCCAGCTGCAGTGGTCAGGGAAACTGAGGCCCAGAGGGACACAGGTTGCTCAAGAGTCAGGCAACGCTGGGCCCAGCCCCTGACTCCTCAGCCTCCTGCCCTCACCTCCCCCAGCTACAGACCCATCTGGGTTCCCCTCCCCGAGGACCTGGCAAGGCCTAGGTTGGCCCGCGAGGGAGGGGAGAAGGGCCCTACCTGGAAGAGCCTGCACTTTTCACCCCTGGGCACCCTAAGTACCAAGTGCCTGGAGCTGCTGGGCCCGGGAACCCTGTCAGACCAAGCAGGCCCTAACCACCGGTCGCAGCCCCGCGCTGCGTGGGCCAAGGCCAGCGGAGGAGCATGGGCAGGCAGCAGCCCCCTGCCCCGAGCTCGAGCTGCCTCATCTAGGCAGAGTGCCTGCCCTTGGACAGTCTGTGGGAGCAGCCAGTGCCCCCTGGGCACCCCACTACAGGGGGCAGGGAGGAGACCTGGACCCGATGGGATTGTGTGGCCCCATTTCCAACAATCGTCACGTGGCTGTGACACTTAATAAAATGGGACATGATTTCCCTGGGACCCAAACCCTGTCAGCAGCTGGGGCTGCCCCTGGGGGCAGAGGCAGGGAGGGGCTCCTGCCAGCACCAAGCACACTTGATTCAGATTCCTCCTCCCTCCACTCCGGGCATGTGCAGTGACACACCGCCCCCCAACCCCTGCCACCCTGCCTGGCTCCATGCCTAGGCACAGTTGAGTCAGACCCCCCTCCGCCCCCCAGCCCAGTCCCTGGTGTGGGTGAGAGAGAGATGGCCCGGGGAGGCAGAGATGCAGGAAGCTGGTGGGCAGGGCAGCCTTCCTGGAGAAGGGCTGGCAGGAGCCCAGTGCCCGGCCACCTCTGACCTCCTGGGCTGCCCCCTACAGTGGCACCAAACCCTGAGTGCCCCTGGATCGGCCCAGAGGAGCCCTCAGCCTTCTGCCCCAGGGCCTGTCCCTGCAGCTCCCAGACACTCTTCCCATCCCCACCCCCACCCCCACCCTGCTGGGCTCTGCACCCCCTTCTCCCAGTTCTCTCCTGACACTAACTTGGAGTCCAGGGCATAGGACCAGGTGTCACCCCATCCCCAACCCTCGCCACCCTCAGACTGCTGCCACTGACCAGGACCACAGCCCCTCCCGGGCCGCACCCAACCTCGCCCAGGACACAAAACCCCGCCCCCCCTCCCCCCCCACGCTCAGACAGCCCTTTGTCCCCGGCCGGCTGGTCTGGAGCCCATTGTTGGCCCTGTGAAGACGGCCTCTGTCCGCCTGGCCACAGCCCAGCCGCGGGCACTCAGGCAGGCACGCCTGGGACCCTGGGGGAGGAGCGCTGGCAGGCGGCACCCCCTCGGTGCCAGCCTGGCACTGCCAGCCTCCCGGCCACAGACCTGAGCCTCCAGACATCCCCTCCCTATCCAGCCTCCTCATCCATCCTGCCTGCTCAACACTCCAATTTCAGGCCCTGCTCCATGCAGACCCCAACATCTCTGATCACCTCCCTGCCTCCAGGCTCACCTTCCCAGCCTGCCTCCCCCACCACCACACACACACACACCACCGCCGCCACCACCACCACCACCACCAAGTCCTGCAGCTCTTCCTCCCCTTCCTTCGCCCTCCCAGCTGCCCGGAGAGTCAAGAGGCCTGGTCAGCAGAGGCGACCTCAGCCTGCCTCACCATGAGGATGTCTGCAGTGATGGCCCAGTTAGAAAACAGCAGCGTCTCCCCGACAAAGATGCAGATCTGCCCAGGAGAGACCAGAAGAACCGTCAGGAAGCCCCCCACACACACCCGTGGCCTCAGCTTGTTCCCTGCACCCTGGCTGCAGGCAGGGAACCCCAAAGCCTCCCAGCCTTCCCTGACCTGCAGCTCCCGGCAGTCAGGCTCGCGAGGAGTGTGTGGCTTATCAAGATGCCCACAGCCGAGCCCTGGACAGAACAGGGGCAGGCACATAGGAGCCTCCCCATGGAGGGAGGGCCCCATACATCACACTGCTTCTCCTGCCAGGCCGCTCCCCACCACCCGAGCCCCCCACTGCACTCACATAGGCCCCCACGATGCTGCTCTTGGCGGCCACGAAGATGAGGCAGATGAAGATGGCGGAGCCCAGCATGCCCACAGCACACACCAGCGGGTCGGCTCGCTGGGTCCGCAGGCGGCACCAGCGAGTGGCTCCTGCCCCCGTGACCACACCCAGAAAGCCCGTAAAGCAGGTGATGGCCCCGAAGATGAGGCTGTGGGACAGAGGACGGTGGGGGATGGGTTGAGAGGAAGGCCAACGCTGGGGCAGAGGGCTGGCACCTCTGTCCAGCGTCCCTCGCCACCCTGCCGCCCACCCCCCCCACCTGGGCCTGGCCCCACCTGTCCTTGGCCCCACAGGGCGGGGTGCTGCACGCCTCTGCCGTCTTCTGCACGACTTGGGCGCGGTACAGGTACAGCGGGATCCACATGCCCAGGGCCCCTGTGGCGAAGGACACGGCCGACGTGGCCAGGGAGGAGAAGACGTAGCTGCGGCTGGGGAGAGGCCGGGCAGCGACACTGAGTGGGGCCCGGAGGCAGCCTTCGCTCCCCACTCCTCCCGGGGTTGGAAGGCTCCGCTGTCTCCCCTCGCGGGCTCTGGGCATGAGGGGCTACGGCAGCAGAATAATCAACACGTGGCCACCATGTCACTCCCAGCACTGCCGGCAGCGGAGACAGCAGGGAGTCCAGCTGCGGGTGCTAGGTGGGCCCCCCCTCTTCTCACCAGACGCCCCCCCAGCAGGACTCACTTGCGGATCAGGGCCTTCATGTCTCGGAGCCATGAGGTCCGGGCCTTGAGCTGCCCCCCGAGCTGGTCGGCATGGCCTCTCTTCGTGGCTGGGACCAGGACGAGGATGAGCGTTCCTGTGATCATGCCCGCGACAGGGGACACCTGATGGCACAGGGAGCACCAGGTTAGGACGCCAGGGCCCAGCCGGCGTTGTCTCTGCTGCACCAGGAGGGGGAGCGCGGGCAAGTCACACTCTGGGCTCTGGGCTCTGGGCTCCGGGCTCCAGGTTCCTCTGGGCTGGCATCTGCTCAGCCTTCCCAATTGGGCGGCTGAGCAGAGCGGCTGGGAATGAGGTCAGCAAAAAGGGCTTGGGGGCTCAACCTGCAGTGATAGAGGAGGGAGGACAGATGGCTGGATATGTGGACAGACAGATGGAAGGAAGAATGGATGGATGAGTGAATTAACAGACAGGAAGATGGACGATGGGACGATGAATCACTGGGTGGGTGCATTAACACATGGGAAAGCAGGAAGATGGCTGGATGGCTGGGTGGGTAATGGATGGATGGAAAGAAGGAAGACAGGTAGGGAATGGACAGGCACGTGGAATGATGAGTGGGAGAGGAGAGAGTGCCTGTGGACAGAGAGCCAGACACCAGCCCTGCCCGAACCCCTGGGTCTGGGAGGGTTTCCCAGGCAGGTCCTCGCCCTGCAGGTCTCTGGGAAGGGACTGGCTGGGCATGAAGCATCCAGCACATAGACCAGGTAGGTTATCGTGTGGGAGGAGCCCATGTGGCCCCAGAACAGAGGCTCAGGGCTTCCTTGGGGTCTTCCCTGGGTCCTGCCCTGTGTGAGAACAGAAGCTCCAGGCCCCAGCCCTCTCTCCACATGGGGGGCCATTCGGCAGCCTGGATTCCACGGTGCCGGCTCCTCCGCCAGCTCGTGAGAACCGGGAAACTGCTCCCACCCCCCATGCGCTCCCACTCCCATTAAGGAATTCCACGGAGGCTGCTTCCTTCCTGCTTTTGAGGAAAAAACACTTTGTCTTAGCTTCCTCTCCTCTGCGAGACTGGGGATCTCTGTTTCCGGGGACAGGAAGTGGCTGCAGGCCCCCAAGAGGTCTTGTCTCAGCCCCGCCCTAGCACAGAGCCAGCGCTCACAGCAGGAAGCGCCATCGTGGATCTGGAATTTCCTGACCTGCTGGGAGAGTTGTCCCCTCAGCCTGGGGGCCCCTGAGGGTGATGGGCCTGACTTGGGCTCTGCTCACACCTGGAGTCCCCAACAGAGTGCAGGCCTGCGGGGCGGGAAGCCTGGAGGCCCAGGCCTGCATCCTAGCCCGGGGTCTGTCCCTGGATCTCTGGGTGACCCTGGGCACAAGCTGGTCTGGGGGTGTCCTTACCCGCAAGGCCCAGTGCCAGTCTCCGGCTGCCTGCTTCACGCTGGAGCCAGTGATGTAGCCCAGGCCGCTGCAGGGAAGACAGGCACAGTCAGCAGGACAGGTGGGGGCGGGGGCAGGGGCGGGGGATGCTCACCGTCCACGAGGCAGGACCCTTGCCCACCTGCCCCAACCCCCCGGCCAGCCGCCTGGAGAGCAGGGCCAGCGTTGCCCCAAGGCTGACCCCCCGCATGTTTAGGTCACCGAGGACCAAACCTCAGGGAGAGGCATGGTCAGAGCTGGAGGGGACCTCGCCGACCCTCACCTGCCCAGCGGGATGGCGAAGTAGAAGACGGACAGCATGAGCGTGCGTGTGTTCTTGGTGAAGAGATCGCCGATGATGGTGGGCGCGATGGTGGAGTAGCTGGCCTCCCCGATGCCCACCAGCCCCCGGGACACCACCAGCAGCCAGAAGTGCTGTGGGGGAGGGAGGGGCGGAGAATGCTGGGGACTGTCCTGCTCCTCCGCCTGCTCATCCTCGGCCCCCACTTTGCCCCGCACCCCTGCAGGGTCCAGGGGCTAGGGGAGAGGTTGGAGCCCAACCCCTGCCCCAGCAGCAATGACACCCTTAGGCCACTTGGGGCCTCAGTTTCCCCCTCCAGAGAGTGGGTCTGACAGGGCCTGGTTGGCCCAGTGCTGAGATGGGACTTTACTCTCCCACGTTGAGTGTTGTAGTTCTGGCCCAGACAGGCCCCCTCTGTCCTCTTAGCACCGTGGACATAAGCCTGTGTCTTCCCCACCACCCCAATTGGAAGACTTCCTCCCTGAGTTCTGGCCCCGCCTTGGGAGCCTCAAGTCACCCCCCTCTGTGTCCCACCCCCGGGCAGGGCGGCCGGGCTGGCCCAGGCAGCACTGAGGAGCAAGTGTGAGTGGGGAGTGGGCAGGGCAGCCCAGTGCTCGGTGCTCCCCCTGCCCCCCCCCCCCCCCCCGCCCCCACCACCCCACCAAGCCCCACCACACACATCACTCAGCCCCGCTGATCTGGGAAGTGTGGGGCCGTGCCCGCTGCCAGTGTTTGACCCCTTTGATGTGGACCGGTCCTCTCTGTCCCCAGCTGCCCAGGGCCTGAGAACCCAGCTGGTCATCTTTCCCCGGCCCCACCCTGACCACCCATCCGGCCAGCATCGCCCACATCCAGCCCTCCTCCGGGCTCTGCTTCCCTCTCTCCATCTGCCCGGCTCTTTCCCGGTCCTTTCTCTGAGTCACTGGTCCTGCTCAGCCGTCTCTGCGCCTCTCATTTCTATAGCTCGGCACTCTCTCCATCCCCCAGTCTTTCCCTGGTTCCTTACTTCTGCTTCTTTTCCTGGGGATCATCTGCCGACAGCCCTTGCCTATTTTTTGTTGGACTGTCTTTCTTGCCTTGACTTCTGTTAGCTTGCTGGGCATCCTGGTAATGACCCTTGATTACGTATGTCACAAATAGTCTCCGTCATCTTTCCCTCCACTTTGTGTAGGGAGCTCCTCCAGACAGAAGCTTCACTTCTTGTTGTTTAATTTGAGAATGTCCGGTCTGCTCATTTCTCCTTACTGGCTTCTGGATTTCACATCTCGTTCAGGAAGGCCTATTCCATCCCCAAATGGGAGAAGTGTTCTCTGGAATGTTCTTGTAGAGGGACCGAGACTGGGAGGGGTGTCCTCAGCCATTCTCCTCGGTACAGGAGCAGGCAAGCCAGCCCTGTCTGACGGGATCCTATAGATCCCCACTCCTCCCCGCCCCTCCCCCCAGACCACTGCTCTGTGCACTTGTTACTTGCACACCCACGTACCAATGAACAAACAGCATTTAGTGTCCCGTGTGCTTTGAAAAATATGACCATAAAAGGAACCATTCCATGAATCTTGTCCCACAACTTGCTCTTTCCCTCATTCTTATCTTTTAATATAGATCTAGTTCCTTCTTTTGTGATTAGGAGTCTCATAAGATGCCCTGGCTGCCGTGGCTCAGTGGTTACAGCACCGACCCACGCATTGGAGGGTCTCAGGTTCAATTCCAGTCAAGGGCAGGTGCCTGGGTTGCAAGTTCAATACCTGGCCCCAGTCCAGGTACGTTCGTGAGGCAACCAAATGATGTGTCTCTCTCACATCGACGTTTCTCTCTTCCCCCCCCCTCCTCCCTTCTACTCTCTCTAAAAATCAATGGAAAAACTATCCTCAGGTGAATATTAACAAAGAAAAAAGTCTCATAAGATGAAGACACCCCATTTTATCTGGGCTTCCCCTAGTCATGGTACTTTAGTTAGTCTCCCTTTTTTTCTATTTTAAGATACAGCAAACATCCTCGCATGCACTCGTGTCCCCAAGTAGAAGTTTCTGGCTTGGGCATAGACCTCAAAGTAAAAGGCTGGGCTGTGGGATTTACACAGCTAGAATTTTACAAAACCCTGCCGTGTTGCTCTCCAAAGAGTCTATCCATTTACACTCCCACCAGCAGCTTGAATAACACTTAGTATTGCCAGCCTTTCTAATTGTTGCCAATCTGATGGGTGTGAAATGGTATCTCATTGTTGCTTTAATTTGCATCTCCCTGATTACTTGAGAGCATATAGTCTCTTCCTACTGTCAATGCCCATTGGGTATCTTCTCCTGCAATTGTCTGTCACTATCCTTTGCCCATTTTCCCACTGGGTTATCTGTCTTTTGCTTGTTGAATTTATAGTTCTACACTGTTATAGTTTGCTTTTTACTTTACTCTGACTTATCCGGAATTTATTTTGACGTGTGGTTCGAAATACGGGCTAAACTTTATGTTTCGTCCAGATGGACAGTCAGTTCTCCCGAAACCCTGAGATGCAACCTTCATGCTACAGCCAATTCCCACAGGAAGGACTGTGTCTCCCGATCTCTTCGTCTGTCCCTCTGCTGTTCCGGGTGGAATAGCCATATTGGATTCACTGACAGGGCAAGTCCCCTTTCGCTGTTATTTTTCACCATGTCCTTGGCTGTTCCTAGGCGTTTTCTCTGCCAAATTAACTTCAGAATCCTGTGGGACTCGGATTGCGCTTGCAGTGAGTTTATAGAGTAATTGGGGTGATCTGTCTGCTTCTCTCTCTGCCTCTGCTCATCTTCTCTCCCCGACCCTCTCTCCTCTACACACCTGGAGGGGCTCAGCCCTGGCATCCTGGTCCTGGACTCACTGGTCAGTCCCAGAAATAGCGAGGCCCTAGCGGCTTCTGGTCCAGGCCCCATTGTTTACTGTGGGTGTCAGGTTGACACTACGGCTCAGAGCTTTCCTGAGCCTGACCTTCCTCTGAAGCGGCCCATGAAGCAAAGTTGTATCCCCAAACCTGCTGATTCCCTCTGCCCTGGCTTCCAACCTCCTCTCGATAGACGTAAATCTGACTCATCCTGTCCTTCACACTCTTCCAGGGCTCTGCACCGCCCTCAGGGGAAAGCCCAGGCCCTCCCGCCTGGCATCTGAAGCTCTCCTTGACTTGGTCCCTGCCTTCCTTTCCAGCCAAAACACTCTTTTCCTCCATTTCTGAACACACCCCACCATCTGCACCCATGAGTTTGCTCCTTCTGCTCATGCTATCTCCACCAAAAGGCCTCATCTCCCTGTCCTGCCTGCCCAGCTCAATGCCACCTCCTCCAGGAAGCCTTCCCTGAACCATAGATTCTAAGAGACTGCACTCCTTACATCGACTCTCGGCACTTTGCACATCTTGAAGGCTCTAAACATGGGACCTTCTGTCACATCTTCCCACCCCCAGCCTGGGTGCTCCCAGGGACAGGGCCAGGGTCTCCTCCTCGGTCCCCTAAGCTGAAACTTCTTGAGGACAGATCTGGTATTCTCCCCTTCTCCCTCTACCTCCCTCTACTGCAGTGGTTCTCAACCTTCTGGCCCTTTAAATACAGTTCCTCATGTTGTGACCCAACCATAAAATTATTTTCTTTGCTACTTCATAACTGTAATGTTGCTACTGTTATGAATCGTAATGTAAATATCTGATATGCAGGATGGTCTTAGGCGACCCCTGTGAAAAGGTCATTCGACCACCAAAGGGGTCGCGACCCACAGGTTGAGAACCGCTGCTCTACTGTCACCATCATGTGACTGTCCTTCTTCTGCTTGAACATCCCTAGTGATGGGAAACTCGCTACCTATCAAAGCAACATATCTCCTTTTTGGAAGAAAGAGTAAAAGTAATGATTTGCTGAACACCTGCCATGTTCCAGGGCCTAGATATTCTTGGCTTAGTTATTTCTCACAATAACCCTTTGAGCAGTATTATCCCCATTTTATAGATAAAGAAACTGAGGCTCAGAGAGGTTAAGTAAATTTCTCCAGATCACAAGGCTGAGTGGGCAACAGAATTGATATATTCAAACCCAGAACTGTGGGAGCCGGGTAAGAAACATCTTCCTTATGTTGAAGTCATGCTGGCCTCCCTAGGACTTTGATCCAAGTAGTTAGCTGGCCATCAAACTGTGGGAGGCCAAGACAGGGGCAGTGGCTCACAGCAAGATGATGGTGGGGCCAGGACTAGAACCAATGGGTCCCGACTCCTAGGCCAGACTAGGGAACTCCTAGTTCCCCGTGTCCCTCGCATCCGCCCCAGATCAGAGGCAGCTTAGAGAGCTGGTCAGATCACAACCCCCAGTCCGGCTGCTGGGCTGTGGGTCCCTCAGTTCCGGCCAGTGTGGGGAAGGCCCTATTTGCAGGGCCAGTTTCTAAAAGTCCCCAAAGACCCCCCATCCCACTGTCCTTGGAGGATGCTATCTGGAGCTGGAGCAAAGGGGCTGGAACCCCCAGTGTAGACTAAGACAGGTAAGCAGACCGCACCCACTGGAGGAACGGAGGGGACACTCAGGGTTGCGGGCAGGCAGTCCGGCCAGGCTCACCTGCTGGGAGATGAAGGAGCTGGAGAACGTGACTGCCGACCAGAAGAAAATGCCGCAGCTGAGGATCACCTTCCTGTTGAAGCGGTCGCCCAGGTAGCCGAAGATGGGGGCCGCCACCATGAAGCTGCAGATGAACACTGTGCCGGCAGAGGAGAGCGTGAGGGCTGGTGCAGGGTCCCTGAGCCTGGACCCACCTGCCCACACCACCCCAGCTTGAGGCCAGAGCCCAGGAGACAAAGCTTAGCCCGGGCCAGGGCCTGAGGCAGCAGCCCCCGAGACAAAGCACCTGTTAACGATAAATGTTGATGATGATGGGGAAGCAACCTCAGCCAGGCCTGGGCCCGGGGGTGGCAGGAAAGGCCCTCTGGGTTCAGGTGATTCTACGACCCCATCCTCTTTATGCAGGCCCACGACTTACCCAGCTGTAGGGGAGCCCTTGGGTACTTTTAAAACAGTACAGATGTTCTCTTGGAACAGTTTCTATATGCCAGGAGCTGCGCTAGGCCTCACCGCACAGCCTCCTGTGGATCCTTCCAGCCCGTCCCACCTCGCAGATGGGAGACAGGCTCAGGGAGAAGTGACTTGCCCAGGGCCCCACCAGTAGTGAGCAGCCCAGTGGGGATTTGATCCCGCCTGTCTGTCTCCATAGCCAGCGGTCCTGATGCTTGGCCACACTGCCTTCCCCGTTAGACTTGGGGAAGAGGGGAAGGGAACGACCCAAGGTCACAGCCAGTCAGGGCAGAACGGGCCGGAACGCCAGGTCCCACCCCTGACACATCACAGCTCCCTCCCTCCCAGCCGGCTGCAAGGCTTCCCTGACATTTGGGAACACTGTGGTTCATTTGGTCATTCATTCATTTATTCATTCGACCATCCATCCAACAAAACAGGCAGCCCTAGCTGGTTTGGCTCAGTGGATAGAGCGTCAGCTGGGTTTTGGGCTCGATCCCCAGTGTGGGGCATGCAGGAGGCAGCTGATCAATGATTCTCTCTCATCATTGATGTTTCTATCTCTCCCTTCCTCTCTGAAATCAATTAAAAAATATTTTTTTTAAAAAATAAAATAAATAGAAGGGTCAGAGAAACTGACATTTCAACACAGACCTGGAGGAGGTGAAAAAACAAATCATGCATATACTGGGGCAAGAATGGCAGTACAAAGGCCCTGGGGCAGGAGTGTACTTAGCATATCTGAGGACAGCAAAGAGGCCAGAGTGGCTGGAACAAGAGGCAAAGGGGAAAGGCCAGATGGGTTGCGGCCTTATGGCCCGTTGTGATGCTGTGGCGTCTGCGGGTGAGAAAGGAAAACACTGGAGGATGCTGAGCAGAGGAGTGCTCTGACCTGGTTTTGTTCTTCCAGAACAAGACAAGGGCAGAGGCTCAGAGGACTCCGTGGGGATGCCACTGCCGGTGATGGGAGGGGCTTTGGAGGCCCCAGGTGGGATAAAGAGGCCAGCAAGCAAAGGTAGGTCTGGGTCAACAGGCAAGGCAGCCCCCCTTTTGCCCCCCCCCCAGGAAGTCAGTCCCACAGCTGATGGGCAGATGGCCAGACAAAGGCTGGGAGTGGGCAGACAGGGTGGCCGGTGACTGGCCTCTGACACCAGGCTGAATGTGCACACGGGCTGGGCTGCTCTCTCAAGACCCGAGTCCCCAGGGAGGCTGGACTGGTAAAGAGAAAGGGGGAGGGGAGGAAAGAGGGAAGGAGGTGAACTAGGCGAGAGAGGGCTGGCTGGAGGGTATGGCGGTCTCCTATCCTAGTGAGAACAGTTGTATGGGGTGTGTGGGGGGCCTGTTAATCCCAACTATGTGTGACTGGGACCTTGGACATAATCAACATAGAGATGCACAAAAGTGGGCACCAGGGACACACTGCCTGGGTTCTAAGTCCACTCTGTTCTTTCCCAGCTGGGTGACCTAAGCAGGTCACAGCCGCTCTGCGCCTCAGTGGTGTGCTGATAAATGTTGGACAACTGGCTCTCCTGATGTACACTGTTTGCCAATTTCCACGGTGTAAATATTCCCACCCTGGCTGATTTCAAGCTACCGATGTGATGCCACTGTTCCACACAGCACTGTATATACCAGTGGTTCTCAACCTTCTGGCCCTTTAAATACAGTTCCTCATGTTGTGACCCCCAACCATAAAATTATTTTCTTTGCTACTTCATAACTGTAATGTTGCTACTGTTATGAATCGTAATGTAAATATCTAATATGCAGGATGGTCTTAGGCGACCCCTGTGAAAGGGTCTGTTCCACACAGCACTGTATATACCAGTGGTTCTCAACCTTCTGGCCCTTTAAATACAGTTCCTCATGTTGTGACCCCCAACCATAAAATTATTTTCCTTGCTACTTCATAACTGTCATGTTGCTACTGTTATGAATCGTAATGTAAATATCTAATAGGCAGGATGGTCTTAGGCGACCCCCGTGAAAGGGTCGTTCGACCGCCAAAGGGGTCGCGACCCACAGGTTGAGAACTGCTGGTATATACAGTATTTCTGCCAGACAGATATAATAGAAGTAAATAGCTTTAAGAACACAGATAAGAGTAAAACACAGTAAAATAATTAAGAAGTGATGAATTGTACTTAATATCTTTGCGTTTTTTTAAAACATGTTTTTATTAATTTTATTTTATTATTATTTTGGAGGGTGTTAATCCTCACTCGAGGGTATTTTTCCATTAATTTTTAGAGAGAGTGGCAGGGACAGGGAGAGACAGAGAGAGAAACATCGATGTGAGAGAGACACATCAATTGGTTGCCTCCCGCACGCACCCGGACCAGGGCCGGGGATGGAGCCTGCAACCAAGGTACATGCCCCTGACCAGAATCAAACCCAGGAACCTTTAGTCCACAGGCTGACGCTCTATCCACTGTGCCAAACAGGCTAGGGCTGTTTTTATTGGTTTTAGAAAGAGTGGAAGGGAGAGGGAGGAGAGAAACATCAATGAGAGAAACATTGATCAGCTGCCTTCTGCACACCCCCTACTGGGGATGGAGCCCAAAACCCCGGGGAATGTCCCATGCAACCGCTAGGTGCACGGGACGACGCCCAACCCCTGGCCAGGGCTATTACCTTCGTTTTTAATATAAGTTGTTTGATCGTAAGTTTACATAATTTAGATTTTAATGATGGTTGTATTTAAAAACCAGCTCACACGATTCCCAAAAATCTAACAATGACTCTTAGGCGCAGGTCTAAGGCATTTCCAGCAGGCCAACTTCCTCATCTGGAAAATGAAGATAAAAGTAGCGACTCCCCAGTTGCTCTTAGCAGAGGATGAGATAAGGATCGTAAGGTGCTTCATGCCACACCCCGCCCAGTCCACACTGGGCCCTTGTTTAGATTAATCAAGGCAGAAATCATTTCCTCGTCTCTAGAAAAATAATTTTTCCTGCTGGGCCTGTCTCCCAGGCCCTTTCTGAGATCAAACCAGGATACGGGCAGGAAAGAGATGTCGGTCTCATTAGGACTTACACACCTCAGGGGGGAGGGAGAATGTTCCCTCTGTGCCTGTCTGTGCTAGGTGGGGAGTGAGCAAAAAGAATCAGAGTGGGAGCTGCACCCTGTCTGGTCCCGGGGGCAGACCCCATCCGTGGGTTGCCCAGAGTAAAGGGCTAAAATGTCAGAGAACCAGCAAGGAAAGCCAGCTCCTGCCAGGATAATGAAGGGAGGCTTCCTGGAGGTGGTGCTCTCGGTGCTGGGCATTGAGGGATGCATAGCAACTGGCCATGATAATAATACTTAAAATATAAACTACAAATCTTATAAGCGATCCTGTATAACAGTGAAGGAGGCACCATGCCTATTGTTAATAATAACCTCAGCTATCATTTACGGGGTATTTATTACAGGCAAGGCCCAAGGATGTGCCCTGAACATAAGCACAGGTTCTCGCATCTGATTCTCACTATTGTCTTCATCGCACAGAGGGGACAACAGGGGCTGGAAGGAGTGACATCACACAGCTAGTGTGTGGCTGAGCCAGAATTTAACCCCCAATTTGTCTGACTCCGGAGTCATTGCTCTCAATCCCTCTGTGCCTGTCTGTGCTGTCAGAGGGACTGTCAGGCTACGAACTGTCAGGCTAGGAAGGGGGGTGGTCCCGACCGATGTTCCCAAGGTCAGAGAGAGTTCAGAGTGTGTTGGGGACAGCGAGAAAGTGGGTCAGGCTACAGCTGAGGAAGCTGTGGAGGAAGCAGCGGGAGATGAGGCGTGGAGCGAGGATGGGCCCTAAACACTAGGACCAGGTTTGGGCTTTAGTTAGCGGGCAGTAGAGAACCACAGCATCCTTCATGCTCCACCTGGTGGGTGGAGAGGGGCTGAAGGAAGGGAGCAGGGCCTTGGCCACACCCCGACCCTCCTGGTCCATCCCCACCTGCCTGCCTGCAGCGGAGCAGGGAGGCAGCTGCTGGCTCCCCCCTGCTCCCCACCCGCCACCCCACTCCCCGGCTTTCTGCCTGCTCACCTGGGTGGGCAGAGGTACCCTGGACTGCAGGTGTACCCCTATTGCAGCAGGTACTCCCTGTCCCCACCCTGACTCCAGCCTGCTGAGGTCACCAGGCACCATCCTGAGCTTCAGCATGTCTGTCCCCTGTCACAGCTGAGGCCACTGATACATGGGGGGACTTGCCCAAGATGGTATCTGACCCTCCTGACCCCGGGCTCCCTCTTCCCTCAGTGCCTTTCCTTGGGGACAAGGGAGTCCAGGGTCAGGAGGGTCAGTGTCATCTTGGGCAAGTCCCCCACAAACCAGTGACCCCGGCTGGGAAATGGGAGACGCGACCCATCTTTGCAGCCCTCCCCGAGGCAGGCGAGAGAGGACCTCTCCTGGCCCTCAGGGCTGTCCCAGGCCAGCGGAGGGGGCTGACCACAATCGATCACGACAGGAACAGGAGGAAAGATGCTGCTCGCAGGAGGAAGGGCACAGACAAAGGCAGGGGCGCGTGAGCCTGTCCCGGGCAGGGCACAGAGGCCAACCTGGCCAGCAGGGCAGGCAGCTCTGCTGCAAAGAGAGACCAGCCTGGCTAGAAGCTTCCCTGTGCCCCACCCCCACCCCACCGTCTTTGTTTGTTTCAGGAGAGCTTTCTGGGCAGCCCGGCTGCCCCACCCCTCATCTCCCTGGGGC